GGCAAGACTGACTCCATTACTTATTACATGGGTGAAGCACACAAAGGAAAATCAAATTAGAAATCAGTCCAGAATGATTTACATGGAGGCCAGGCATGCAAAATAGTAAAGGTGCAAAGGGTAAGGGTGCTAAAGGGTTTAGCAGCACTTACCCATTGACTAATTTAACATTTATAAAGTGATTTGATAGGATTTATTACAATTACCAGAGAGACCTAACTGCAGATTCAAGATAGCACCATCACTGCTGTGCTTGTGAGGGTATTTGAATCAATTCACACACAAGCACACAGATATCTACCTGAACCTGTTAAAAATTCCCCTTGAGTGCAGTGAAATGCTCACACTGGCTGCCTTTGCATCTCTCAGAGGGTGCAGGAGTGGAGTTATCACCCTGCCATCAACTTTTGGCGACAGCTCTCCAAGGATCACAAACTTGAGGGCTCATGAGCTCTTAGAGGAGTCCCACTCACAGGGAGGGGCTGGCACAGCCCACTGTGGTCCAGGAGAGCTCAAAAAGCCTCACTTAGGACCTAACAGGAATCTCTAAGGTTGCAGAGCAGCCCCAAAGAGAGGGGAGCAAGTTCCCCACCATGCTGGAGAAGCAGGACATAGCTTGGGATTGACTGGACATAGCTCTGGTCATTCTCTCCAATGGATTTCTAACCCTGCTCTCAGAGTTTTGATGAAAGGTTTCACCTCAGTGTTACCAAAATTGGTGTCTTGCAACCACTCCAAAGGCAGCTGCTGCAGGGAAATGCTTTCAGTAAGCACTGAAAACCCAGGGCTTGCTGATAAATTTGGGTACTGTGCATTGCACTCAAGGAGGGGGGAATCAATCAAAACATTCTACAAATGTCTTTCTCACATAAAAACTTCCTTCACTGCTGATTCACCACTTCCTACAGGCATTGTCAGATCCATGAACACGATATTGTGCAAATAAGACCGGCAGAAGTAGTTCTGTCTCAGGAAGAGCAGACCTTCCCTGCTCTAAGCTGCTGGGGCTCCTTTACTTTTGTTTTCAGAGACGGGCTGAGAGCACAGAACAATTCAGAAACAGACTGAAGACAGGGTATAGCATAAAAGGGACAGATTTGGGTGAGCTGAGTGCTCACCCTGTGAGGAGACCCCCTGTGAAATGGTCACCTCCTGCACGGTGCCAGCTGAGCAGCACTGAGAGAGAGACTGAGAGAGATGAGGATCCTTAGGCTGGAGAAGAGAAGGTTCAAGGAGGGAGTCTTGTCAATGTAAATATAGAATCCTTTCAAGTTGTTTTCAATTTCCTGAAGGGAAGGTGCAAAGAGGACAGAGCCAGGCTCTTTTCAGAGGTGCCCAGTGCCAGGACAAGTCAGTGGGCACAAAGTGACACAGAAGAAGGTCCCTCCACCATTACCAAACACTTTTCCACTGCAAAGGTGGCTGAGCCTTGGCACAGCTTGCCCAGAGATGCTGTGGTGGCTCCCATCTGGACACAGCTCTGAGCAACCTGCCTGAGCAGGGAAGAGGTCCAAGATGAATTCCAGACATCCCTTCCCACCTCACCTCTCTGATTCTGTGCTATGTCTCAATCTTCACCCATTGCATATCCTGAAAATGTGCCCAGTGTGCCTTTAGACTCACAGGAAAAAAATAAACCAAGTTTTACTAAAACATAAATAGCTTAAGGTAGTCACAGGTTTCTTCTTCACATTGCAATATAGAACATTTTGGTCCAATAGACAGTTAACACTTATTATTGTTAAACTTGTTTTTATTTTAATAATTTAATATTTAATTTTGCTGCACTGTGTCTGTCTCTCAGCCACTGAGCTGGCAGGTCATGTACTCATACACACACCTCTCTTACAGCTTCTAAATCCCTAACCTGCCCTATAAATCACATTATTACACTTAAACCTCAAATTATTTTACCTAATATAATTTCTTACCTACTGAAGACATATTCTTACTTATAAGTATAGCATAAGTTTATAATTTTTCTACCTAATGTCTGTGTACATTTATCATTACATTAACCCAAGCTCTTTCCAAGGCTGCAGAGGCGTTCAGCATCTGTGGAATTTTCCATTTTTCCATTTCCCACACGATCCTTACCCTTTTAGCAGTTCCAAAAAATCACATTTGTTGTTTCACTATGGTTGCAATCAATACATTGCAATGTTTTCTCAGCTGGGCAGGAGCAGACACCTGTGACTTAGTTCAGGAAAACAACACACATTGTTCCCCCAAGGAGCCCTAACAGCTGGGTTGACTCATGTTGGGCCTTTCTACCAAAAAACTTCCATCTCTGAAGGTTGGACCTGATGGTCTTGGAGATCTTTTCCACCCTTCATGGTTCCATGAGACAAAACATAGCATTGGACCACCCACATAAGAGATTCGCATTTCTGCATTTCAGCAAAATATGATCACAAGGAGCACAATTACTCTCTAGAAAAGTCACTCCAAAGGAGGGACAGCTCCAAATCACACACTAGTAAACTTCCAGCTGGGTTTTAGGGACCCATGGGCATCATTAACAAGGTTCTGGACATGTCACTACCTGTATCTGCAGGCTCTGGTTCATGAAACAGCACGACAGGGTGCCCAAGGGAGTTGCCAGGCTCTGCAAGGAGTGAAATCACCATGACTCAGTTAAAAAGTTGAGGTGAACGAGCCCCAGTCACCAACCCATTCAGCAAATAATTTACTTATTTATTTAATGAAGAATTTATTTATTCAATATTATATTATTTGCATCCAGTAAGTAATAACAGTTTAAAAAAAAATAATTAAAGCCTTTTTAAACCTTCATAAAGTCGGGTTTTATATGGCTTTGAATGATGAGTTACCTTCCTCCACGCAGAAATCAGAACAAAAATGTTTGAACAGAAAAGCCTGTACACAAAACAGAGTCCTTCCAGCAGTTCTCTTCTGCCAGCCCATTCTGTGGCTGAGTAGCCAAAACCTCTCCCTGCTCCTCCCTGGCCTGCAGGAAGTTCACTCCAAAGTCATTACTGTCTTTGAATTAAGATCTACAGGGAGGAAAATTGTTGATGGCTCTGTTAAACAAATGGGTGAAAAAATAAAGGCAATTGTGTGAGGTTTATACCTTCCAGACCAAGATTTGTTGCAAGTAAAGGTTAGTTTAATAGCTCAATCTCAGCATTTCCCAGTCTTTTCTCTACATAATTTTAGTAATCTCCCATTGCTATACCACCCAAGTGCCTTTAATAGAAAATTAAGTAATATGGATATGGCATAGGCTTGCTATAAAATATTTCCAGTATTTTGAAATAGAGATCAGTGTAAGAAGAATAGCATGGTCTTTTCTGGCCTTAAAAACAATGGACCATTACTAAATGTATAAAATCTCAACAGACTTTTCTCTTTTCTTTATTTTTTTGGTAGGTGTTTCTTTTCTGTCAAATTCATCACATTTCTCACAGTAACTTTGTTCTTTTCTTTTTTTGGGTGGGTTTTTTCGTATTTGTTTTCAATAGAAGGCACTTTCCCTTGCTGCTCTAGTTTGACCATGCTGGAGTTATCAGCCACTTGGAAAAATTTGATTCCCTGCTTCCCTGTCTCTGCTTCATAACAATTTGGGGATTTTTCCTCATTCTAGAATGTGTGATGACATCCAAGACAACTGAAAGATGACAATAAAACTTGGTTAAGCCAATGGCTTAGAAACCAGGCCAAGGAGAGCAGGAAGAGATTTTGTTTATATTTAAACCCAGAACATGCATTTGCTAGCCAACTGAAAATGCTGTCCCATAAAAGCAGTTTAAACAATGTAAATGCACATAACTTTTAACAAATCACAATCAAACATCACGGTTAGTGGCTCAATAATTCGTGGTTGCTTCTATATTTTGATAGGCAAACATAAAAAGTCTAAGCATAAGATATTTAACTCTGGCTTACACTGTACAAGCCACAAGATGACACCAGTGGAACTTCCACAGCATTTAAATTGGTGGTCAGGGATCAGCAACGAGCAAGAAGGAATAGCAATATAAGGATAAGAAAATAGCAATATAAGGAAAAGAAGAAAAGTGTAGACTCAAACAGCACAGCATCCCTACTGTGATAACACAAAGTCTCTGTGACTGAGGTAGGGTGCTGAACTTACATCAGCTTCATGGTGTGAAGCATCTTTTCTTCCAGGCAGCTGCAGCAAAGCAGAGCCCAGTCCCTGCAGGCTCTGCCTCTTGATTTCGGAGGCACTGCACTCCTCCAGAGCCTCCTGCCACCTCTAAATGTCACTTTTCACCCTGTGCAAAGAGCAGGGGGGTTATTCGGACTAAAGCTCTCTGTGTTGACAAGCTGTGATCACCAATCCCCTTGTGCAGTGTCTGACAGCCTCCCAGTGCTGGCTGAAATTTTAATTGGAGGCCAGGGAAGAGATTCCTTCCCACAGACTGGGTCCAGCAGGGAGCCCACCCCTCTGCAAAGACAGGGCACTCAGAAATCAGCTAAAACACAATAATTTCATTAATTTCCCCTTGAACAACAGGTGAACCTAATGCTTTTGAGGGAAAAAAATATGAAAAAAATAATTTTCCACTTTTCACAGACACGAGAAATCCATTTGGCGAAGAGGCAGAAATTCTCCTGGCTCTCTCTCAGCACCACGGAATCACAAAAGACTCCAAAGTCATCGAGTCCAGCCTGTCCCCAGCCCTTGTCCCCAAGTGCCACCTCCTTTCGAGGGCTGGCGATGCCACCGGGACGCTTTCAAAGCACAACAACAGCGACATCAGCCCCGAGGCTTTCCGGCATCATCCCCTGCGAGCCGCCGGGGACCGGGCGAGGCGGGGCCGGGGCAGCTCCGCTCCTTTATAGCGGCCTCGGGCGGGC